AACTGTACTGTTTCCTACTGAAAGTAATTATACTGAATGCCTGCATAGCAAGGGCAAGCCAAGGATAGTGCTGAGTGAGAGAAAACGTGCTTGCACAGCAGCAGCCTTCCACTCAGGAGGAGGTGCAGAGATCCCGTGGCAGCCACTGACAGGGCAGGAATAGGTTCAAAATGTCTCACTGTAGTGGAAGCTCAGGCCCTAGTCACAGCTGAGGTACTGTGTGCATTTGAAGTGGTGACCGTATTAATTCTGAAGCACGGATGTTGAAGAAGTATAAATACTTTGTGTCAGATTTATAAAAATAGTTTATCTTACGAGGTGATTCTTCTGCATAAAATGTATCTCTTCCATGAGGATTTCAGTCATCTTCAATTTCAGTAATGAATCTAGAATTTGCTGTTCAGCCTAGAACTGTCTGGAGGATTAGTTTTTTTATGTTACAGATTTTAAAAACCTTTCTGTGTTACTACCTGTGACTTACTGTTTTCATTTTCAAAAGAGAGTGTTCTTTCTCTGCACTCCTACAGTGCTGGAATTAGAAGTATTACTATTATTAGGGTTATTAATAAAGTATTGCTTGTTATGTGTAGGGTTTTGTGCTTTCTAAGATCATTATTTGGTGTATTGGTTATATTACAGATACTTTACAGTTGACAAATTCTGAAGATCCTGCAGTATTATTCTTAAAAATCACTTATTTAGCATTCAGCTCGAGAGACTGTGTGCAGTAGGATGTCTATTTATCCTCATGCACTGTTTCTGCTTAACTATTCCATGAATTTCTTGAGGGAACATTTCCGTAAGTGGCATTTCAGAATAAATATAACCTGGAGTGAATTGTAATCTCCAGAGCATCAATGTATTCAGAAATTCCAATGCAATCTTTTTCCTTGTTTTTTTGGTAAGTCACGCTTTTATATATGTTTGTGTGTATGTGTGTGCTTATTAAAAAAAAAACAGTATTTATATAACAAGAATTTTTTTTTTTTTTGCAGTGTAGTAGCTGAATGATAGAGTAGATCACAGTGCAGTCTAGAAAAATACGGAGTTGAAAGATACAGTCTCTTTTGAACAGTACTACTGCATGTTAGGAATGTTTAGTTTATTTATATCCTATGTGTTAGGATTTGGATTGTAGGAAGTGATTGACAGCAGCATCAATCAACTGGTTTTACTTACAAAAATCATGGCATGAAGGTATGACCAATTACAATGACTACATTCCACTCTTTTGAACAATACTATTCTGGCTTTTTTTTTTTTTTCTTTTTTTTTACAGGTTATTAAAAACAACCTGAATCCTGCTTGGAGGCCCTTCAAAATCTCTCTCAATTCTCTGTGTTACAGTGACATGGATAAGTCAATCAAGGTAGTGCATGTGAAATGTGTGTGTGAATCAATGCATTCAAAAAAAAAAAGCATATGTAATAAATGGAAGGCGTGTTATTCTAGTTATTGCCTCTTTTTGTTCCTTATTTGAAAGACAGAGATACATGCATGCTTTAGGAGAAAAATCTCACATTTTTTTGTGATGCATTGTCTGATAAAAGTTGGTCTTTGGAAGTCTGGGAAACCAGATGAACATAAGTAGCGTCGAAATGTCCAATTCAGTTTCTTATTTAGATCGTACAGTTTTAGTGTTGCATCAGCCAATTTGGTGGTGTGAAAGGTGCACAGTAAAGGCTAGAATGTGCTTTGCTTTACCTTATGGATCTTATAATACTTTACTGGTGCAACAGGGAACACTAGTGAAATTCTTATTATACTACCTGATACAATTAATTACATTTAATACACTACCTGAGGTAACAGATTGTGGACCACGTGCATCCTGTGGATGCCAGATGTAGCAACTTTTCTCCTCACATGAAACTTTCTGATAAAGTCAACCAAACCTGTGAAGTGATAGTTTTACTAGGACTGGTCTTTAACTCTTTATATCTTCAAATCTTATCTTGAATAAATTATGTTTAACTTCTGAGTGTTTTTCAGGAATTCCTTTTAGGGGAAGCTAAACAACCAGTCAAAATGCCATTTACAAGCTATTATGAGCATGTTAGGAACTGATATTTTAGCATTTGGAAAAAAAAACCAAAACCAAAATACCAAAAAACCCAAATTAAACAAACCACTATACTTGCTGTTCTTCCTCTGGGAAGGAAAAATGAAAGCATGATCTGCACATGACAGGTATTAGTCATATGACTTGAGGCAGTCTTGGAAAATGCTTAACAGCAACAGGGATCTGGGTGTTACAAGCACCTGTATAGATTTAAATACATAATTATAGAGCAGACTAATGAACAACTTTACAAGCCCAGAACCTGTTTCCCTTGCTGCTTCTGTGTTTTTTCCTTCTCATTCCTTTCTGCTTCCCTTTCCCACAAAATAGCTGTGACAGTTCTTACGTTTCCATATACTGTAAATATATTTTCTTTTTCATTAAACAGGCATACTAAAACTATAGATCATTGATTTTTTAAAATGTTATTCTCAGCTCTATCATAATTTTAATAAATTCTGTTCTCTGAAATCTTAGTTCAGAAGTGTAGCTTTATTTCCAGAGAAAATAAATAGATTTTACTTGAGTTGTTACGGACTTGCAGATAGGGTAGGATTATGTTTTAACTTAGAAATCTGGGAGCTATGACTTCATACATTAAAATGCAGGCAGAATTGTATTATAATGTTGCTGAAGGATTAAACAATACTTTTAACATTTTTATATGTGCACAGTTGCATACATAATGGACTATTTGTCATAGTAAGTAAACCCACCAACTTTTCCATAATGAGTGGTTTTTTACTTATTTAATGGCTTAGTTTGTGTATCCCCGGCAATGCACAAACCAAGTTGATTCTTTATCTTCTGGATTTATTGCTATACTCCATGTGAGTGTGTTTGCAGTCAACGAAGTCTTTCTGTGTTGAAAATGTGAGCCTTTCATCTGGAGCAAGCATGCCTAGTTCTGCTGGGGAAAATATATATGCAATTTTATTACATGGTTCCCCAGCGCTATTGTACATCCAGGAGAGCATACATGGAACAAAAGAAATATTTCTGTCTTGCCTGGAGTAAGTACTGAAAATTGACTTAGATGGGTGAAATATATCAAGCAAGATGAACTTTAATCCCTTTAAAAGGAAGAAGAAATAACCGTGCTAACTGTGAGCAGGTATCATAACTTTTTGCTCAGGAAATATCTTCAGTCTTAAATTTCAGGTACTGAAGCACTTGGCTGAGTATTTGGTTGACTTAATTTATGGCATTCAAATTAATTTTTACACCGCCATCTGCCGTGAACATTAGTCTGTTGGTACTGTGGCTGCTTGTATGATATTTAAGTTGCTCTTCAGTGCATGTGCATGCATTTTGTTTCTTTATTAGTGCATTCAAAATGTTGTAGGAGTAGTGTAAACCGCAACATAGAAGCATGTTCTGCACAGCGTAGAAACTGCAATCTATGCCTCCTATTTTGTACTTCAGCATTACTGTTTTCAGAAAGTTAATTCCTGTCAGAAGCTCAAGTGTATGTTGAACTTGTTTGCTTTACTTTGTTATTGCAAAGTGAAGTGGCCAAGTAATCAACTAAATTGTTTCTTGAATATAAGGTAGGTTTTTTTTCTGTCTCGACAGAAGTGAAAATAGCTGTTCAGTGAAGCCATGTATATTCAGAGAAGTTTTTCTTGAAGTTTATGTTTTGATTCTGAATAATGGGGGATTCCTACTTTGACTCTTGATTTATTATTGTGTTTATTTATAATTTTATTATTAACTTATTTTGGTTTTCTGTGATTTGATTAAGTTAGCTAGCATGTCAGTATTGCAAAACTGAAATGAAATATCAGAAGTGGATGGAATTAGCATATGCTATTATAGATAAATACCCGGCTTTTTATCTAGAAAGGCAGTTGGGGCACATTCATAAGTTGAGCTTTTAAAAAAAACAGAAATTGAGGACACTGTAAGGTTAAAGTAACAGTGATAAAATTATGCTCAAACTAATAGACTTTTCGCTTTGAGAACCTATTTTTCACTTGTTCTGCCTTCTTTCATGGGTTGGGGTGTTAGAAAATGAGTTGATGGAATAGTAAAACTTAGCATTAAACATTGAATACAGGAAAAGAGGGGTTTTTAGCTGACATTCAGATCCATGAATTAGGGATTATAGTGACTCTTTCTATTCTGGCTTCTTAAAAAAAAAAAAAAAAAAAAAAAAAAAAAATAGTCCTGTTTCTAGATTTAGGGCTGAACCTTCATATACTTATAAATTCTGATTTATCTTGAAGATTAATAAAGTAATATGAAAGTATTAAAACTCTCATGGTCACTGACTAACTGATTTACTAAATTTTTAGTTGGACGCTCAGAAGTAGTTAAACTTTCTTAATACCTCCAGATAACTAAGTCTCCTAATCCATGGTGACAGTGAAAAAACCTACAGATTGTTTTCCTACTCTTCCTGACACCCTTTCTCTCCCAAAATGTGGTTCAATATAATTGATGTTACCTGCTCATGCGGGACCTGGCACTGCTTAGTATTCTCATCTCTCCTGCACTTCACTGGAAGGTCTGACCTGCAGCTGGATATATTGGCTTTTACCCGATCTTAATCCATAATATCTAGGTGCAACTCTATGCAATTCTAAGACTGCAGTGTGAGGAAAAAACTCGATGATATAAGACATTTAGAAATGTTTTGGATGTTCAGGTTTGCCTGAACTGGAAATGCCATTGCAGTGTTTATTGCTTTTGTAGGGCCACTTTTATTACTGATACTGAATAATGCTTCATTTTAGGTTGAGTGCTATGACTATGATAGTGATGGGTCTCATGATCTCATAGGAAGTTTTCTAACTACGATGTCAAAACTGAAGGAAGCATCTCGGTCCTCGCCTGTAAGTCTTACATAATCTAAACTGCCTGTGTGTTTTTGATAAGCTGTTCTGCTCATTTTGGAGTAAAATTTATGTCACTTGACTTGCAGGTATTGAAGTTGTGTTAGGCCTTAACAATGCTACCGTAGTTGAGGCTGACTCAGCGATTACGTTATGCATCCACTTTCCTGGGATTGATATCTTGGTCACTATTTTTAATGCTACATATCTAAATACCCAACCATCAGCACAAGTGAATTTCATTAATCATAAAAATGCAAAAATAAAAAAAAAAATAGTGTCAAAGACAGAATGCAGTACAAATGTCACTGCAGTTAAAAAGCCAAAGCTCGTAGTATTTTTTTCAGATTTTACTCAATCCTTTATTTTGAGAATGGCACTTATCAGCTATCATGTACATTTCAATGAATATGAAAAAATTCAACATTTATGCCACTGCACAAAAGTGTAATTGAATGTGTTACATGAGGTGGCTCTTCTTTAAAGTGAAGTTACCCTTTCTGTTCTTACCAACTGTAACAGTTTGCAAACCTTTTAACAGACAAGGCTTACATTTAGAAGAAGAAACGCGGCATAGCAACCTTAACATAAAAGTCCTTGTTTTATGGACAAGTATGTTGTCAAAATATTTTACCATCTTTTCCTTTATTTCTGTAAAACCTGCAGAACTGCTCCTGAACTAATTATAATGGGATACACTGAGTGCCTGCTTGTACTTCTCTAACATCTTGAGCGTTGCATTTGTACTGATTTTTTCAGAGCTGTTGAATGTGAAGAGTCAACCTTGACTGTAGTAGTTTTCTGATTGCTGCTTTGTGCCCTGCCATGGTTTTCTTCTAGATACCTGTTTCTGAACTCATTTTGAATTATGCATGGTTCAGTTTAACTCATCTTAAAGTTTTATATTGTTTGTAAGGAATTTTGGATTCGTATCATATGCATGTAATTCATATGCTGCCTAGTTGGAGCTCTTATGCATTTTTCTAATTTTTTTCTGGATTTTCAGGGACCAGATAGTATCAGTTTAGCTTTCAGTACTGACAGTAATCCTTCTTATTATTGTAATTAAAGTGTGCAAAAAAAAATGGGGGAGCAGGAGGATTTCATAAAATAATTTTTCTTCTTTTTTAATGAAGATTTTATGACTCTTTTAATAAGATGTTTTTCTTCTTTTTTTTTTTTTAAATTTGTGCTTTTGTTATAGAGCAGTATTGTAAATTAAACAAACCCAGCGGGTTTGTACATTCATATTTTCAAACACATATTTTTTTGGTAAGAACTGTGATAGTGAGTTCCCATGCAGTGTGAAGCATGTTGTGTAAAGGTTCCTTGAAACTACAAATACCTATTTTCATTGCTCCCCTAGTAGCATGATAGGGGGTGTCTTTGAACTTAAAGAAGGTATTTAACTTAAAAGGTATTCTAAGTAATAATCTGCCTGGGCTGGTTTTGGAAATGCTTTAAGAAAGTTGTTTTCATGACAACTGTAGCTATGCCTATTCTAAGTAGCTTATTGCTGTGTCAGTAAGATGAAGCTAAGATAAGAGACAACACATATAATGTGCTCCAGGTTTCTTCTACTTTTCAAAGGAACTAACTTACAATCCTGTGTGATCCGATTAATGTGATAATGACTGTAATATATTTCCAGTGCACATTAGAATTTGACTTCATATACTCCCAAGTGTAATCTTTAGTTACTTCCACAATTCTGACATCAGCTGCACCTGTGGGAGATCTGGCACAACTTCTTCCAAGTTTACTTGATGCAAGCGTGGGTGTGACTCTGTATCCTCCGTTGCTGAAAAAGCTGATCTTGTACAACTGGAGTGAGTGGGTGGCTTTTCATTCTCTAGAGAATTGCTGATTTTTTTTCTTTTTTCTTCTTCCCCCTTCCGTAAGGTTTATCTTCCCTCCATCCATTTTGTTAGTGTGCTCTGGGTGGAGAATTATAAAATGTAGTTGAAAGATTGTACATGCTATGTATCCCATGGCTGTTACTAGCGAGTACCTCATCAATTGACATAGTATGAAAACAAGTCCCTGAAAGACAATTTCCATCAAGTAGAAGTGATGCTGGTGGTGAAATGTCGGGGGAAAAAAAAAAAAGAAGGTAAAGAAGAGGCATGTAGACTTTTCAGGTGCTGACCTTGTTAGTGCATTTCATAGAAACATAGAATGGTTTGGGTTGGAAGGGACCCCTAGAGGTCATCTAGCCCAACCCCCCTGCAGTGAGCACGGACATCTTCAACCAGGTGAGGTTGCTGAGAACCCCGTCCAACCTGGCCTTGAATGCTTCCAGGGATGGGGCCTCCACTACCTCTCTGGGCAACCTGTTCCAGTGTTTCACCATCCTCATTGTAAAGAAGTTCTTCTTTATATCTAGTCTAAACCTACCCTGTTTAAAACCATTACCCCTTGTCCTGTCACAACCGGCCCTGCTAAGAAGATTGTCCCCATCTGTCATATAGGCCCCCTTTAAGTACTGAAAGGCTGCAATCAGGTCTCCTCGCAGCCTTCTCTTCTCCAGGCTGAACATCCCCAACTCTCTCAGCCTGTCCTCATAAGAGAGGTGCTCCAGCCCTCGGATCATTTTTGTGGCCCTCCTCTGGACCCACTCCAACAGTTCCACGTCCTTGTGCTGAGGGCTCCAGAGCTGGACACAGGACTCCAGGTGGGGTCTCACCAGAGCAGAGCAGAGGGGCAGAATCACCTCCCTCCA